AGAAGAAGAAGAAGAAGAAGAAGAAGAAGAAGAAGAAGAAGAAAGCTAGGCGCTTTCTGCACTTACCTGGCGATGGCTGAACTTCAGATACCGCGGAGCCAGCTATGGCGCTGGCCCCGGTGACTCTCTCTCTCTCTCTCTCTCTCTCTCTCTCTCTCTCTCTCTCTCTCTCTCTCTCTCTCTCTCTCTCTCTCTCTCTCTCCCCCCCCACCACCTTTACGATTACTAACTACTGCACCCAGGTCCTATGATAACTCTCTGAATGTTCTCGCTGCTCTTCCTCTCTCTCTCTCCCTCTCTCTCTCCTCTTTGCAAGCTCCTACCTATGGCGCCCAGCGACGTCGACCACTTCTCTCTCTGGCCCGGCACTGTTTGCCCCAAGATCTTGGCGCCCAGCAACGCACCAGCGCTTCCGCATCTGCCAGAACTGAAGAAGAGTAGTTTCCTGACGTTGGCCTCCTTTTTGTGCCTGTGCCCGCTGCCTCCCACATGATTCCGGACTCTTCTGCCTGGCCCTGCCGCGCAGTCAAAGATTCGGTCTGTCGTGGCCCTTCCCTGGGACTGAGCTGCAGTGGGACCGGAACTGGACACGTGGCAGCTCCCTGGCTACTAGGACCCTCTACTGTTCCTACCGTTCTTTTCCTATCGAATCTCTACTTTGTCCTGTACAGTACCTACCAGTAAGTTTTACTTCAGCCCTAAGGTACAAAAGAAAATGGGGCACAGTACCAGGGTCGTACTGCAGGAGCACGTGAGTCCTTTCAATTATTGTACCGAGGACCATTGCCAATGAGAGAGACTACTCTGAGTGAGTGAGACTGCAGAGCAGTATGTGCATTGCACTCAAATTTTAAAGCGACTGTCTCACTATTTCATTACAATAGCTCCAAAAAAGAGTCACAATTGATTCACCCATGGTTCTTTCCACAGTCATCCATATTTCACTACACAGATTCCTGGAAGGATGCTAACATGCCAGTCCACATTACACAACCAATGCCACCCAAAAGAACTCAAGAGAAAGCGTAAGTCTACAAAAGTCTGTAGAATCGCACAAGCAACATCATTCGCAGTTTGCTGCCGGTACGAGTTCCTGTACCTTTAGGAGCTGAATCAGATGCACTAGAGGGAGGGACAACGGGGATCCCCCCCCCAGACGGATTCACGTCAACAACAGTGTTCCCTGCACCAGAGATAGACACCACAATCAATGATTATCGAGTATGGTAGGAGAATTGATCATGACCCCGTCCATACTATTCACCAGTATCCCATGGCAATCCGTTGGCTCTGAGAAAAAGTGAATGGCATTGCAACAGATGAATGAGCGAACTTATTTTTACTTCCCCATTACAAGGACACAAAATGTACTGCATGGCTTCTGGCAAGCCGAACGGCTAGATGCCAGATGTGGTCCAGCCCACAATCCCACCACATGCAGTAAAGGGGATTTCAGAACATATTTATGAACCACCATGGTTTTTCACCAGACTTGGTTTCATCATGGGGACAACAAATGCTTCCACATTGCAGGGAGAAATAATTAATTGTGCATTCAAGGAAGATACACATGCTACACACGCTTCCACATTCCGGGAAGATATATCTTGCACAATGTGAAAGTGTAGCATATCAGAAAGTGAAACGCACTGAGAGCCTAGGATCTAGCAATGACGAAAGTGGCAACAACCAGCAGCATAGGTGCAACATTCAC